ATATGAAGGTAAAATGAGTAATCAGCGTCTCTGCTTCTGCTTCTGCTTCCAGGAGATGCAACGGCTTCTGAAATATTTATAATTTTATACTTGTTCGTCTGAAACCGTTCTTGTCTTACTTTTGGAAGTTCTTTTTCAGTACACGCAAACGAAATTTAAATTCAAGACAGTGATTTTAGATATGATGCTGGTTCTCTCTTTTATTGGGACGTTTCGACTTCGGCTCAGAAGCTCTCACGTGTTCTTTGTTTTATATTTTTTCTTTTATATGTAACGCCGGTTTGTTAGATGTCCGTATAAACTAGCTTCAGCAGCCATTCAGATGACGTAAAATGTCTACATGCAATGCAGGCTCTGAAATACCGTGGCGTTATATGCTTAAATTGTGCCATGTGCATTTAGGAGAGAAATATGTATATGAGACTGACTGCTGAGATTTAGACCTGATTATGTTTTAGAAATTCACGCCGTTTTGGCACCTTTTCTGACATGAATCATATTGTGTGGTATTTGTCTTCTGTAAGATGTCTCACTTGATATGTGGCTTTTTCTTATAAGGGATAGTGCCAAGAGCCAGACTTTCGCTAAAGCGTGTTGTCCCCTGTTTCCTTCCCATCTACTTGGGATATTGAAAGGCGAACTCCCTGAATGGGAAACAATTTTCTGTGATATGTGGATGTTGAATTCCTATATTAGCAAAGAGCGGCTCAGTGATGCTGTGCGAATCTGTAGCACTATTTGCATAATGTCGTATTTCTTTCGCTTGAAGTAACGTCAGCGTTTACTTAATATATTAGTGCATATACATTTTCGCAAATGAAATGCGCAGGAAAAGGGATGTTTTTCTCTGTTCAGATGCATGATGACGTTATGCACAGTGTGAGCAGTGGCATTAGGCCGGTACTCGTCATCAGAGTAGACAGAAATCGGTAATCTGTGTACTCTGTCCTTGACCCTGATATCCCAAATGACAGTAACAACAACATCATCGGAATACTGTGTAGGGTATTGTTTGCTTTTGTTTCCTTATGTCATTCGTTAAGCTTTCCGGATTTTCCATCCATTTTTCTCAGACATTTTCATCTTCTAGTAACAGGGTGAACCGCCTGAAAAAAGGAATTTAATTTATACGCTTTCTATGGATAATAATACAGTCGCTACTATCGTGTTCTTCTGTAGACATCTATTGTGAGGGCATCATATGACTTCTTTGTACTTTATTGTCATTTCTTTCTCACTTTCTCATACATCGTTCAGGCATGCAGCCCCATTCGTAGCACCGTGAGACGTTACACTAAGACTAGGTTGACATAGAGCGAGTTATAACGTATTAAGCAATATTTTCTTACTGATAATTTTCCGTAAAAATTTGAATATGACATCATGGTGATTGACAGGATGTTTTAATGGAGTGAAGCTGTACTTCTGATGCTGGACCAACGGATAAGTGTGGCGTATGCTGGACTGATTACGTGAAATTACAATTCGTTAGGACGATGTAACACTAATTCTTGCCGTTACCTGGTGAGCACACGATGGCACTAATCTATGCATCATTGACGATGTCTACTTTTTGACTGGCCTTGAAAGCTTGCTTTAACTTGCAAGGGTCTTGGTTATTCATTGTCACAACATTTTTCTTGCATATTTTTAGATTCGCTTAAAATTGTAATGAAGCGCCTTAACATCAGTTGGCAGTTGATCGTGGAGATTTTCCATTTTTCGATTTTCTGTCTGCACTCTAATTTGTTCATGCAGTTCGCAGTTTGTGCTGTTGCATGCTGGGTAATTGAAAATAATGATTTAAACCGTTTTAGCTTGACAACCAATAATCTTCCAATTAAAAGTGGAGAATGGAAGCTGACCGCGCTGGTAATAATGTTTATGTATGAAAGATACGGTTTTTGCAGCCTCTAGCACACTATTTGTAATGTCGTTTTAGCGCAGCAAATGTTAACGATGACTTGAAGCAGATGCTTGCGACAGAAAGAGCTATGAAAGTTGTCACGCAACAAACGGAAAACGTTGGCATTTCTGAGACGGAATTGCGTGAGTTTACAACGGACCCGCGTCTGCATTACGACGTTACATTGAAACTGTAGTTATCCTCATTAGTCGCATTACTTTGCAGTTTTACTTCTGTTTTACAGAAGTATCTTTTTTTTGTTGTTTTTACTAAATTGTTCGAGTTGCAAGTAAAAGTTTCTCGTTTTGACCAGTAGCCCTTCGTATACATTACCGCTGATTCTTTACTGCCAGACAATGACAGTTTACTTAGTCATTTATTTTTATGAATGTTTGCCTCACCTCTGTCTAACATGAATTTGACATTTGAGTCTTGTCACTCCTGTATAAGTTTCTCAGAGCGTTGTCGTGCATTTGTTAAGCAGATGGTCTGCAAGTTGATTGCATGATATGTCTTTAAAAGCCGCTGTTATTTTCGATGTGATTTTCAGTTCCATTGTTAACGCGATAGTCGATGCGAGTGATTGGTTGGCATCTTTACGATTTGCGTACCTCTTGGCAGCCTCTTCGATTGCGCATCAGCTCTGATGTTGAGGATAACTGGGCTGCACTAGTAAAAGTATGGAACTTCTTCTTCGCATATGTCATCGGTATAGTGCACCGCCTAGATAGTTGCTGTTCACAGATCAGATACTTGCTGTAGAAATTCCAGTTCGGTTCAAGCTTATTCGCTTTGCTTATGCAGAAATGTTGTTAGCAAGTTGAGTCATTTTTACCAGATAAGAAATCAGCACAAACAGCATCGAGCTGATGTACAAACAGAGGTTACAGAAATTATATAATTGTGATTTCATTTCTAAATGGTTTACGGTATGTTTCTCACGTTTGATAGGATTTATCATTGCTTGGAAGGGAGAAGTCGGTTTTAACTTCTTCACGGCTCGATTCTGGCGGGTATTGCTTCGAAGCGATTCCTAGTGCTCGAGAGTATGGAACAGACTTTTATTTTAACAGAATTTAATTAACAGAATCGAATTTAATTTTATTTATTTACTTTTATTTAACAGAATTTAATGCCATGGGTGATTAGAGTTTTCTAGAATTTATTGGGAAAGTTTCAGAGCACTTGATTTTGGAATTCGTAATCCTGAGGATTGTATTATTTACCCAACGTTGGCTGGGAAATGTTTGTCGATTCAAATCCTGTTAACCCGACAGGATTTTCAGCGATGTGTCATTGGTTTATCTGGGTGTATATCGTTGCGGAATTGGCGTCGATCTACGTGCTGTATCACACATTGAACATATATATGATCGAACGCAACTTGCCGTTCGAGTTTGACATTAATGCAGATCAGGAGATGGTCTCGCCAAAAGAGGTGTTTTGCCCAAGCTATTCGTTGGACGTCGTACCGACATCGTCTAAATCGAATCGAACCCCGGAAGACCCCTTGACCATCGTTGCGGCATTCATAGATATAGGTTCGTTTTAGAACAGCGGCGGCGTACGACTGGTTTCGCAGTACTGCTCATGGTTCAGACTGTGGAGAAACGTGCTCAACCCGGTCGTACTGTTTTATAACAAACCGTGGATTTGCAGAACATTTCGTGCCATTCGGGGCAACCTGACCACCAAGTGCATTTATATCGATCTTTCCCGCGATGGTTCTTTCTGTAGCTCTATGCTGAGAGTGGAAACGACGAAAATCTTAAGCGACGACAATTATCCAACGACAAACGTTGACTATGTCATCGTGAAATCAGTGGGATGGCTCATATTGTTCCTTTGGTAATCCAGAGTAGCTTGTACGATTAGTGTATAAAGTAGTGGGATGATGAAGTTGTAAACAGAAGAACGAACGATGCCTTGAATGGAAGGAAATTGCATTCTCTCTAGTCGTAAATAACGCAATCACTGCCATCCGTACAATCATGACAGTAAAAGTAAACTTATTCGATCGTTTCAAGCTCTTGTTCCAATGTAATTCATCGAGTGAACGTGTGACGTCATCTATAACGATTCTATTGACCAAATAGAAAGTGTTCCCATTTACTATTCCTAGATAGTACCAACGTGGTACATTTATTTTAATTAATATTTGATCGTTCTTCGGTCGATAGTAGTATCGAGGCAATGTTAGATGCTTCTGAACGCGTCCACGGGTTGCTGATAGTGGGACAACACTCAGATATAAGGGTTAGTTACGAATTAAGCGGAGAGCTCGACGAATATACAGTCGCAGACAATATGACGACAGTGCCCGGTGCGGCGAGCCAGGGCTCGTTGACACTGTTGTGACTTGGCTAGTACATGTAACTAACGCCATGCGGTCGTCCAAGCGACCCTACGGCAGAAGAAAGAGCTGTTCAAGAAACGGCAACTGTGAAATAGCGTGGAAGGCAGAGTAAAATATACCATATCGAAGAGGGAAGCAAAGAAACTCGTCGCTGAAGCAAAGTCTACTTCGTGAAATTGCTTATACGAAAAACTGGCAACGAATAAAGGGGGAAAATACATCTATCTCATAGCATAAGCCAGAAAGAGAAAGAAAAACAAGAGAGTAGGTAAAGCGAAGTGTATAAAAGACGAAAACGGAGTGAAATTGACCGACGAGAAAAATATTCGCAGCAGTTGACCTATGGAGAAGGCACTTCTAAACGCTACTAAACGAAGAACATCCCAGAGAGGTCACGGAAGAAATCCAACAAAATCAAGGTCTAATGGAAGAGATCTCACCGGAAGAAGTGGAATAAGCTTTGAGCAGAATGAAAAGCAAAATGGTCCAGACAGAGTTCCCGTAGAAGCATGGAAAGCACTGGGTCAAAGAGGCATGGTTTCTGTCTGCGCGCTATTTAACGAAATTATGGAATATGAGAATATGATGCGGAATTTTTTGATGCCAATCTACAAAATTAAAAAGGACATGCTCACCTGTAAAAACTACCGATGATTTAAACTGTTTAGTCACATCATGAAGCTATGCAAAATTGTGCTAGACAAAAGCCTGAGGGAGGTCGACATCGAACCAATTTGGCTTTATGCCAGGTCGGTCAACCTGTCACGGATGCCATCTTCGCATTCAGATCAGTAATCGAAACATGCAGAAAAGTCAGACAGGACATCACATGGTGTTCTTAGATCTGCAGAAAATTTCTGACCGAATCCGTAGGCAGACAATCTGATGGAGCATGAGAAACAAGCTGGTGCCAGAAATCTGTCAGGCTTACGAAAGACATGTACGGCAGAGTGACAGTAATACTCCGAAGCATATGCGGCGAAACAGAAGAGTTCCCTGTACTGGTAGGAGTCCTTCAAGGAGCCGATTTCTGTTCTCTATGGCGACAGACGCGATAACTGGGGATCTACAATAAGCAGCCCCATACTGCATGCTCTGTGCAGATAACATTGTGCTGTGTCGCGAAAGCAGAGAAACTGTAGAATCAAAATCCGAGTCATGGAGAACAGTTTTTGAGAAGAACAGCCTTCGACTCAGCAGGGGCAATTCAGAGTATAGGGCGGGCTATTTCAGTCGGAAAGACAGGTTTAAATCCGTCAAACCAGTGAAATTACCGGGGCTTGCTGCCTCAGACGTAAGAATTCAACTGCCTTGGTTCTATCTTGCATGATAATGTGGTAATCGACAGCGAGAAAGAAATCGTTTCAAAAAAATTCGACTCAAATGGACATAAGTGAGCGAGGTACTTCGCGATGAAAAGATGCCCATGAAATTGAAGAGAAGGTGTACAGAACGATAGTAAAACCGGTGCCTCTGTACATGGCGGAATGATTGACCACCCTGAGGAAACACAAACAACAGCTGAACTCGATAGAAATGCGATTGCTCAGATGGGTATGTGGTGTTAGCAGAGAGGACCACACCCGAAACAGCTCCGTAAGCGTCACTCTAGGGGTATCGAAAGCGGGCTCCATTGCTTCGGTCACGGGAGATGAAGACCCTTCGGGTATGTTGGAATTGTGGTCCAAGCAGTGATACTACCAGGAAAGGGGAAGATCAAAGAAAAGGTTTCGTGAACCGTCAAGAACGGTATGAAACTGCGGGAAGTCATCGAAGATTGACCAAAGGCAGGAAAATGTGGAGGTGGATGACTCGGTTAGAGGATCTATATTAAAGGGAACATGCTAGGAAAATGGAGATTGAACCATTCTTCGTCTTTCGTTGCTCAGCCCTGGTAGCTTGCTTGGGAACCGAGTTGCTTTTTTCGCATTTGAGATTATCACCATGTCATCGGCATACTTACGCCAGTCTGTGGTGTTTGTGTTCTTCAAGTCGCTAACACTGCGACTGAAGTGTAAAGGAGATTAGAACCGTAGGACGCCCAGATAACTCATTAGTAAGTTAGTCCGTGCTCATCTTCGTTGCGGATTGTGACCGATC